AAGCCATCTATATTTAGAATCCTGCCTTTCCACAGACACAGGAAGAACACTTGCTGTCTTGTCTAAAATGTCCTAAGATTCCCCATTTTAAGGCGTCAGCCTGACTTGAAATCTTGGATTTTGGGCATAAATTCTGAATGTGGCAATCCACAGAGAGACTCTTACCTTCCTTTTTTTAATGGATAACTGAGTGATATGTCAAAGTTCAAAAAAAATTCCCCATGGAAAGTGAGTTGCAGGCTGTCAATGCAGGTTGCCATGGCAACGGCCACCATGACTACACAGGCTCTAACCTTGCTTAAGGAATAAAGTGGAAAAAATAGCACAGATACTATAATGAAAATCCCTGTACTGTAAATATTCCTGAAAAAAAACACCAAATAGAACCAAAAACTGCCCTCCCCTACATCATTTTTTATCATCAGCCCATACCTGGAAAAAAAGCTTTCAGTGTACCATAAAAACTTAATTATTATGTTTTAGGAATGGTGCAACTCTGCTTCTCTTGTGCCTTGAGTATTCACTGGTTTACACACAGGTAAAACACTGAAAATGGGCTTTTTGTATCAAAGGATAATAAGGTGTGATCTATGTGGAGCAGTAGCAGCAAACAGAACAGGACAATAAAATACAGCAAGGAAAGAGGTAGTGAGGAAAAAGATGGATTCGACCATGGCAGTCTAAAAATAGAACCCCTTCAAACAGAGCATGGGTGGGAGGAGGGATTTTCAGAACCAACAGCTCCATCTAGAGTTAAACAGCAAGGGATGTTAAAGCAAGCTGACAGGTAAAGAAGGTTCTTGGGACTTCTTAAAAACACCTTCCAAAACGTTCTGTAACCTCCCAATTGAAATTAAGAATTGGCTCTAAAATACATCATCCAAAACTCACCTGATCTGAGAAAATAAAAGTTGCATTAAAAACAAACCCAAGACAAAAATGGAAAACACCCATAACATCAAAACATTTTCATCCACCCCTTGGGCTTCCTGCAGCTCAGTGACATTCCCACTGCAGTGCCAGGTTTGGGGAGGTCAGGACATTTTGCCCAGTTCTCAGTGTGACAAAGATTTTCCCCCCACAGAAGGGATCAGCCTCCCAGCACCACTGCCCAGAAAATTCACACCCACCTTCAACACTAATTGGATGGTCCATCAGCAGTACAACTTCCTGCACGGGCAACACTTTCCAGGCCCCCAAAAGTTCACACTTATTTAAAGTTTCCCACTGATTTTTGCAGAGCCAGGATGCCCCTGCCAAGCTGTTTGCTCCAGAGGAAACTATTTTGCATTGCACCTTTCAAAGTAATTCATTATAATCATATTTTAAGTCTGTTTGTCCTCCAGTTCCTCCCAAGCTGCATCTTACCCTGCAGCCTGTATGTCCAACATAAAATAAAGAAGCAGCAGCTGAAAACAACTTTTTATTTGCTCTGAAGGCGTGTTTTTAAATGAAAAAGTACCCCAAGAAATAGAAAGAAAACCCTGATTTCCCACACAGTCAATTTTGTGTACTAAATTAACCAGAGGAGTGGCACCAGCACATGGAGCTTACTAAATATTTAGAGGTTATTGAAGAAGTTCTGTCAGAAAATAAATAGAAACTACCTGTAGGAAAACAACAGATTCCTCAGGGTTTGTAAATATTTTGCAGCCCAAGGTAAGCAACTTCACATTAAAAACACAACTCAGAAGAAAGTGACTACAAATCAACACATAAATCTCTTCACTGGAAAGTCTAACACCATTTTCTGTGCAAAGCCACCTTCTCTTGACCCAAGTCCAGTTTTGAAGCAATTCCTGGATGGGAAGGAGTTGGCAGAACGTGCACTGATAATTGTCCATCCAAAGAAGGAAAGTTTTACCCTCACTCTTTCTTTGTTGAGAGAATAAAACCCTGAAGGATTTTTTTATGACTCCCAACAATCTCCCTATTCACCCTTGCAAAAAGTGATAGTTGGAAGCAACTGAATTGGACTTTGTGTTTTTCCAGGCATCATTTCCTCAGAGTGACTGCTTTAAGCTTCTAGAAATTGGCAATTTAATAGAGAAAATTGTTACCCATTCTTTTAAAGACACCAAAATACTTCAAAAATTATTTCCAGATGGTGGAGACTACAGGCCTTGGCTGAAGTGTGTATTTATGTATTAGGCTTTTTAAAATCAGGGAGAAAACATTTAAACACAGTGCCCATAAAATTGATTCAAGTACAGGCAGAACAAGCATTTCAAAAAGTTCATCAGTGTGTTTCTTAAAGAAGTTTTGATGAGTTAGAACGCCATATAAAGGCTTTTTCTTCGTTTCACAATGAATGAGGACGTTTAGGACATACACTGATTAACTCTGTGACACTAGAAATCAAAACTGGGTGATGATATACACTATTTTTCAAGCTTAAAGAATGTATCTCCTTACCTCCAAAACTGGCTGAAAGCACTTGTAACATCACTGACACATGAATCCACTGGTCACTTTTTATTAAAAACGCTGCTGTAAATGACTTTAGTATGACTAAGAACAAAAAAGAGACCACAGAAATACTCACATTGCATTGACTTTATCTTCTGGGCCCTGAACTTGGCCTGTCACGGTTCCTTGGCTGGTATTTTTAACCCAGCCAACCACTCCTAATTTCCTGGCTTCTTCTTCTGTGTACTGGTTTGGGAAATAATGAGAGAGGACAATCAGTGCCAGCACTATCCTTTCATTTTTCACAGCTGTCACTGTGAAAAAGTACTACCCTTAATAAAAACCCACGGGTGACCCTCATGCTCAGGCATTCAGACACTCCTGTCAGCTCTGGAGCTGCAGCAGGAGCAGCCAATTCTCAAAAAAGAAGGAGATTTTGATCCCAAAGAACTCTGCTAATCCCACAGCATTCCCTTGTACCTACTTCATTCCTTTCCATAGCTCCTATCACTGCTCATTTCCCTATTCAACCACCCCAGTGTTTGAACTCATTAAATTAGCTACACTTACAAATTTCATAGTTCTTTTCCTCCCGTTTCCTTTTAAATCCTTTCCACCTGACTTTCACCCTTTAAATCTTACCCCCAACCGCTGCATTTCTAAATAGCACTACAGGAAATCCAATTATATTGGTTTTCTAGTATTTTTGCCATACCACAACAAATTCTGGCTTCCCAGCCACCCACTCCTTGTAATGAAACCCACAATTTCCAAGTACCCTGTTTCTTGAGGGTTTTTTCTTCTTTTTGATTTTTTTTCAAATACATGTAAGATATAAACATAATTTGTCTCTGAACACTGAAATGGTAGGGAACAGAAAGCCTCTTTTGCAGAAATCCATTAAGTTTTTGTTCAATGTAGGACAACAGAAACACAAAGCCATAACACAACTTCATTAATAAATTTATTTGCATTAAAGGTACCTCCTCTTTGTACACTGAAGAGGTATAAGATAACCTGGCCCATGGTTTTTATCTTGCATTACAGAACAACCTGATATCTCCAACAACAAGATCTGACAATTTTCAGTATATTTTGGTGAGAAACAGCCACCAAACATACTAGAATGTGTCCCCAGTGCACACTGCATTATCAGCCTCTTGAGACACTTATTCTAGTGTCAAAAGTCAAACCTCATGTTAATATGACTCCACTTCAAAAGAGAAAATATGTTTTGGGAGATTTAGCCAAGGGAAAAAAAAAAAGCATTGCTAACTGTAAAGAGTGTTTTTCAAGAGGACTGTGAGGTAAAGTGAGCTTAGACTTATTAGTTTCCCACTTGACAGAATAATTAAATTCAAGACATATCTACTGTAATCCTCTATTCATTTCCATTTGGGCACTATTTCACAATACATAGAACCTATAAACAAGAATTTTTATGTTTAATATTAAGCATTGTCCACTATTTTCAGACCAAAAACTGCTCTTATTTGAACTGTGTCCTGTTGTTTACTAGGTTTCTGTGAAGTGTAAAACTACCTGCTGCATGTTCAGAGCTGGTGGAGACACTTACCTGGGGTGTGAGCCACAGAGTGTTTATTTGTAGCACATTTTTCCAAGGACACACACTAAGTCTCCTTAAATACAGGTACTAAATAACCATTTTAAAAAATTAAACTGTAAACCCTTGTTTCAGGAGCCCATATCGAAAACTTCAGATTTAACCTCTCCAAAGATCAATGCGTTGCAACATTTTTTGTTGCTGTTACGAGTGATCCAAACACATTCTTTAGATGCTACACAAACTACACATTAATAAGCTTTTAAAAACCCCACTTTAATATAAAACCATTTTCCTCCTTTTAGATCAACTCGCAGTACTTAACCATCTAACCCAGAACTCAAAGTTCAGGTTGGATATATTTACACTGTACAGACCTGCTGCCGTATTTTTAGCACTGGAAATATTACACTGTAAAGTACAGCTGGTAAATCCAGTATTGCCTTACCATCCTGAAACAAACACCTAGAACAGAAAGAAAATAGGAATTAAGATAATAAAAGTATTAAAGTAACTCGAAAGCATGCCACTTGCAGGAATTTCGCTTGATACAGAAGGGCAGTAAGCTGCATACAAGTCATTCCGGGTATTTTATCAATTTCAGAACAGTTGCGAAATTAACGTCACACAAAGTGTACGGAATTTAGGAACACGCCGGCCTTCGGCAAACGATTGTCTCCATTGATACTTTAATGTTAATGAAAACGCTGCAGTGTGTGAATGGGGGGGCGGGGGCTTTCCCACACAACCGCGCCGACAACAAGCCATGAGCGCAAACGCGGTTATTGGGAACTGCTCCGGATAGAACCGCCTGTGCTTTCGGGGGAGCCGAGCTTTAGAGCTGGGGAGCGCTTACAGCCTTTTTTTATTTTATTTTTATTTACTTTTTATTTTTTTTTTACCCTTTCCCGTCCCACGGGGACGAGTCGGGGCTGCCGCTCCCGCCTTTCCCCTCACGACGTTCCCGCCTCTCCCCTCAGGGCGCTCGAGCCTCGCGCATGCGCGGTCCCACAGCCGCCTCACCAGGGAGCCCCTTGCCCCCTCAGCGCACCTCACCTCACCTCAGCCCGCCATTACCTTGCACTCGCCCGAACACTTCATAATCCACCGACTTGAGCGCGCCGGAGGCTTTGGCCAGGGCGGACATGGCAGCGCCGGAGGAAGAGCCGCTGCGGCGGGTGCCCAGTGCTCCGCGGGCCGGCGGCGCCCGGACGGGAGCGCGCGAGGCTCAACCTTCCCGCGTCAGCGGCCGCCTCACGGGAATGTGAGGGAGGGAGTCAGGGCACCCCCGAACCGAGCCTTGACAGGGAGGGAGACACCGGTCCCTCCGTGAGGGGAGAACACCTAACAGCGAGGAGTGACAGCGCTCGTCCCGTGAATGGAGGGAGAACCCCTCACGGTGACAGCGCTCGTCCCGTGAATGGAGGGAGAACCCCTCACGGACCGAGGGCTGGAAACACCTCCCGCCGTGAGGGTCCCGGCGCCGCAGCCCTGAGGGGCAGACACAGCCCCCGAGCGCCCTGTCGGCAGCACAAGCGGCCACAGCGTGTCCTTCAGAGTCCTCACATGTTATTCTCGCTTCTATTTGAAATTAGAAATACCTTGAGAGAACAGTCTTAACATCACCATCTCCAATTCCAGGGCTGACGCTGCCGCGTATTCATTCACCTGAAGTTATCCCCTCAAGCATCCAGCGCACAGGTAAACAGTATTAAACTTTTTCAGGGATTTACAGGAATCATTCAGACAAAGTGTTCACCATATGTGGCTGAAACCGAGGTAATTTTGCCTGATAATGTGGAAAGTTACATAGCTGAAAGCTAAAACACAGCAAAAAACCCCTGAGTTTATCTTTGGCATCCATCCCCATCAAAGCTGCGTGACAGACTTCCCTCACATCTCCACATGACTTAAGCCTTCAGCCAGAGATTTATCAGCCCATTTCTATTCTCTGTTCAGTCCTTGTGCTGGAGCAGCAGATCTTTGAGACAGGAAACTCACCTCATGCAAACTATTTACCCAACTTCCAGTTTTCATTAGCAAACCTTTCCAGAAGTGCCACCACGTAATTTCTTTTGTCTATATGCCACATGTGCAAAAGCAAAGTCAAAAATTGGCTATTTAGTAAACTGAGTCTGCAACCAAACACCACAAAGGTTTTTCTCCAGAGTGTCCTGTCTGCTTGCAGTTTAACTCTTCCCCCCAATGTTTGCTTTAAAAAAAAAAAAAAAAAAAAGGTGTTTTCAGGCAGAATTTTACACTAGAAACAGCATTTAACCAACCTGAGAAGATAAACTCGACCCTCTCTTATTCAGCAGGTAAAGGTAAGTTAACTGTGACTTTACAAATCAAAATAATTTTATTTGCTTTCCCCATTAAGCAACTCCCTCCCACATACAACTTTTTGTCCTACAGCAATGCAGCAGAGCCCAGACTGTTCACAGGTTTGGATCTCAACACTAGAGGGAGGTTCTAGGATCCCTAATTTAATAACCCATACTTCAGCATTGCCACATTATTCCCACATCGGAGGAAGACATTGATTTCCAACACGCAACAAAGCAGTAGAAACTGAAAACAACTTATTTGCTCTGAGTGTTTTTAAATGAAAGAGTATCCCAGTAAATGGAAACCAAACTCTGATTTCCCACACAGTCAATTTTGTGTACTAAATTAACCAGAGGAGTGGCACCAGCACATGGAGCTTACTAAATATTTAGAGGTTATTGAAGAAATTCTGTCAGAAAATAGAAACTTCCTCTAGGAAAACAACAGATTCCTCAGGGTTTGTAAATATTTTGCAGCCCAAGGTAAGCAACTTCACATTAGAAACACAACTCAGAAGAAAGTGACTACAAATCAACACATAAATCTCTTCACTGGAAAGCGTAACACCATTTTCTGTGCAAAGCCACCTTCTCTTGACCCAAGTCCAGTTTTGAAGCAATTCCTGGATGGGAAGGAGTTGGCAGAACGTGCACTGATAATTGTCCATCCACAAAAGGAAAGTTCTACCCTCACTCTTTATTAAGAGAACAAAACCCTGAAGGATTTTTTTATGACTCCCAACAATCTCCCTATTCACCCTTGCAAAAAGTGATAGTTGGAAGCAACTGAATTGAGGTTTGCATTTTTTTTCCAGGCATCATTTCCTCAGAGAAACATCATTTAACCACCCTGAGAAGGTGAACTCAACCTTCTCCTACTCAGCAGGTAAAGGCAAGTTAACTGCAAACTTTACAATAAAAATCAAAATAATAATTCTATTTGCTTTCCCCATTAAGCAATTCCCTTCCACATACCCATTTCTGTCCTTCAGCAATGCAGCAGAACCCAAACTGTTCACAGGTTTGGATCTCAACACTAGAGGGAGGTTAAAAATACATAAAGCCCTAGAGGAATAATAAAATTACTTTTTCAAGACACACCAGTTAACTAGATAAACAGCCACCCAATTCAGCAGAGAACACAAATATTCACATAAATCAGAAAACTTCCAGTATCACAGCAAGTAGGAACACAACAGACCAAGTTTTATCATTAACTATATGACACATTAAACCCCTGCCTTTTACAGGGGCCATACATTTCATCATCATCACATTTCACTACTGTGGAATCAGCACCATTTTGTTTTGGAAGAGGAGGATTCGACAGAAAGAAGAACAGGACACAGGACAAATGGAAAATGCTTTGTAATTTGCTGCCATCTGGCAGCAGTGAAGAGCAAGACAGGTAAAAAAATAGATTTACAATAGCAGCCCAATTACACCACAAAGCCACACTCCACACTCTGTCCTGTTTCAGAAAAGTCAGTTTAAGAGATTTTTTTATTTGTCATAGGAACATCTCACCACCTTTCCCCCAGACAAGCTCATGTCTCTCATTATTTAGTGTCAAGTAGCAGGGCCTGAAGAGCTCCAAAAGATGAGACATTTAAACATTTCATATTTTACAGCCAAAATAATCAATATTAGAAATCAAACAATTCAAATGCCTTAATTAACACAAAAGCTTTAGCACATACTACCAAGAAACTCAGACAGTCTGCATGAAGCTTTGAATTCCCTTCCCACTTCCAGGTGTTTATTCTAAAGTGGCAACACTTGGCCTAAGGAGGATCAGTTGGTTGCAATTCCTAAAGCTACTGCCAACTGTGAGAGTCCTAAACAGCTCCAGCTGTTGAGGCACAGGACACACTCTTTGATTTTACTGCAGAGGAATGCAAACAATTATGAACCTGCAACCAACAAGTTGTATTTTGGGATGGACAGAATTTGTGCTGTAACAACACACAGAGGTACAACCCCAGAGTCTCAGAGTGCTGCCATGGACTCAGGTTGTTACTCAGTAAATCGGGGTAACCTATTTGTTACTAAAGCAAAGCAGCAACAGTCACAACCAATCTGAGTGAGAAATTCCAGGCTGCAGTGAATTCCAGCAACATCATGGTGCTAATTTTCCCAGGCCTTTGCTACACTCACAGCAATTCCTTCTGTAAGATTCCTCTCTCATTTCACCTCAGCAATTTCCCTTTTTTAGTTCTGATCACTTAGTAATTCAGGTCAGGGCTAACCAGCTTTTACTCTTCTGCCTCTTGCACAAGACACTGTTTTGTATTCTCACCTTTGATACACAGATTGACTTTCACTCCCAGCACAGTGTTATCAAGGAACAACTACTGCTACAACCTCAGCTCCTACACAAGGGTTCCTCTGTTCTGGAAGCTGCCTAGAACAGGCATTTCCCTGGCAAGTTTTTTTTACAATTGGGAAAACTCCATTTATAGGCAAGGCCAATTTCATCACTAGGCACTCTGCTCCTCCTCTGAGCATTAAACCTTTAAAAAATTCCTTCCAAAGCACAGAAATATTTTCCCACAGTGTTGGTTTTAGCCATTGCATAAAGAAAGGACATAGTAAGGAATACTACTATTGGAAAACACCCCAAACCTATAATAGTGCCATTGCAGCCAAACATTAGGGAATACCACAAACAGCAATGCAAGGAGCAACCTCAGCACAGCAGTAACAACAGTCTCACAGTACCTGGGCAGACAGCCAAGGGGCGGCAGCAGAATCCCTCCAGGAGCAGAAGGCTGGGCTGGAAACAGCTACATCTTACAGGTAAGGCCCAGCCAAGAGAAAAAGCTGAAACCAGCACTGAAGATAAGCCTGCCTGTGACTTGTAAGGAACAGCCCTGCTCAGCCCTGAGCTTAAATACAGCTCCTGCACCAAGGGGCAGAGGGGGTGTGGTTGGGCCCCAGGTGAGCATAGTTGGGTCCAGGTGAGGCTGGTTGGGGAGATCAGACCTATCGTTGCCCTTGACACTGGCCACTACCAGTAAAAAATAATTTGATAAAAGAATCTGCCCATGATGGCATTTCTGCTCTCCTGCTGCCTTTTAGTGTGAGAGTCTCTTGATTTATCTTTAGCTGTGCAACTCTTGTGTATCTGAACCAAACTCTACACCCGGTTCACTTGCAAATGGTCCCCAGGTGATTTTGGTGAGTGTTTTCCCAAAGGACACCAAGGCCTCTGAATAAAAGAAGCCACTGCTGCCCTTGCCAGGTTTTTGCTGTTACTTAGGGAGCATGGAATACCTGGAAAGAAGGTTAGAAGCTATGCAAGCTTAGTTTGGCCTTTTCACCTTCTTTTTTTTCTACCTCTTTTTTGCAAACTGTATTGCTCATCAGTTTTTATTTTCTTTCCTTGAAGGTAATGCACTCCCCTTCTTTGGTGTTTTCTTTTTCAAGCAAAATCACAAACTTCTTCCCTTCCTCTTTTCCTTGTTCCCATATGATGTTTTCCTCTCCTAAGTTGCATTTTCTCCCATAACTTTATTTCTGAATGAAAATAGGTTTGCTGACTCTGATTCAAAGCTGTACAAGCTTCTTCAGGGCCTTTTTCGCAGTCCTTATTTACATCACATCTAAATACACTGAAAACCCTTTGAAGGCTTAACCTCCCAATTATTTTTTCTGCAGTTCACTGCTTATCAGTAACTTTCTTCTTTCCAGCACTAAAGATAAGGTTTGGAAGCCTGAAGTGCAAGGCAAACTCACAGAGGGCTTCTTAGAGAGCTTTAGTCTGCCTTCTTCAGTCTAAGATATAAAACAATGGTTTGTTGCAGGATTGCTGAATAGAAACGTTATGCCTGTGCAAAAATAAACACAAAATGACTTTTGCTCCATAAGCTTTAGCACCAGACAAGGGAGTGTTCCTGGAGCTGTAAGGGACCCCTGTAAGGGGTCTGCCAGCACTGCTGCCAACAGCCATGAGCCAGCTCACCTAGAGGGAATTAAAAACCAAGTGGAATGGATGTAGAAGCGTCAACTCAAGTCAAGCTTGAGGCTTTACATTCATATACCATAGGGAGTCTGAGCACTCCTCCTGTAGGAAAAGGGGGTCTATTAAAAGAAAGCAGAAAGCATCTGGACCTAAGTTAATAAGCCACAAAACAAAGTAGTGCCTGGCAAAGATGAAGTCTCATGTTACAGCAGGACAACGCAGGAGGGAATTGTGTTCTTTACCTGTAGGATAAATGGAAACTTGCTCTGTGCGGTAGAACTGCCAAAATTTAAATTCAAGCACTAAAATTTCATAAAACCTTTGAGGAGGATCTACCTGGTCACTTATGTTTCAATCATTGCTGTGTGGCCTAAAGAAAAACGTCAAAGGAAAGGTCGAAAGAAATACCGTGTTTGGTTTCGAAAGAGGATTTGATTGCCTTCTGGACAAATAGAAAATAACAATGGGGCAGCAATAGTGGGCAGGCAGCAAACAACAATTGCTGCAATGCTGGCTTGGTGGTTGAGTGACTGATGACTCCCCAGGTGAATCTCCAGTGTGCCCAGAGCACAGGCAGGTGACCTGCTTGCAACACTTGTCTCGTGATCCCTTTGTGAGACAAACTCCCGAGGCAGGAACCCGATCCCACCTGTGCAGCCCACTTAGGAGAGTGCAGGGGGAGAGTCCTGCCCACACAGATCAGGTGGCAGGGCTGCAGCCAAACTTCGTGTGCAGGGACCTAAATTTGTCCCTCTCGTGCTCCAAAATCCTGGCCTGGTTACATAAAGTAACCCGAGTTCTCTAGTGACAGATACAAAATCGTGAGCCCCTTGTTTTCCTGTGGCCAGACTATGTGGTGTAGGGTTTGTGTTAGTTTGGGTTTATTTTTGTGTTATATCCTGGTTCTGTCTAGGGCACGAAGTCCTGTCAACTGTCTGTTTCTCTGAAGGGAGCTTTTATTTTTTAAGTTAGAGTAGCAATGCCCAAAGTTCTTTTGCTTGTGACCCTATTCACAGCTCAATAATTTTGTTTGACATCTTCTAAATATACAAATATTTGATGAAACTAAACTTCTGTTCACTTTTCAACATTTTTATCATTGCCTCGTCAAAGTCCTTGGTTTGTTTAATATTTTTTCACACTCCTCTAAGGCAACAAACCCTAAACCTCCACCAACAAAAGCATGTGAAAACAAAGGATTTAAATTTAGTGGGGATAATGGCATTACAGAGGATAAGCATATCTTATTATTTTATGTAAAGCCAACTTTATAAGCAATTTGTGAGCAAAGGGACAATTAAAGCCTAATAATACTTTGATTCTGTGAATCCAAGACCTGAGTGTTTTATATTAATTAGATTCTGAACTAACAAACAGGTAGAAGTAATTTTATTCAGGGAAAGTTTATTCTGTGTGCAAACAACGTTAAAATTCCCTCTTACATTTAGAAGGAGAACATTCAAAGCCTTAATCACCTGGTTTGATAGGAAAGCAGGAGAATCATCTGACATTTGATTTATGCAACACCCATTCACAGGAAACTCATTAAAATTTGAGGAGCACATTGAGGTGCTGCTGAAACTTATATTTTCCCCCCTTGCACAACATTCTGAGGACAAGATGTGGTCATTTAAGGCAGTGAGTTCTTTATTCCCCTTGAAATGTAGGAAACGTAAGCATCACCCTTTCCACAGCTGCCAGAACAATACTGTCAGATATGGGGAGGATTTAGGGCTCTACAAAAGATCTAAGAATGCACAAAAGAGCGTGGGCTGGTAAAGGAATGGTTTCTCAGGGAGGTGGGTTGACAGCTATTACATTCTGCTGCTCTGTGAAACCATTTGATTCATTCTCCTTAGCTGCATCAGACCTTTATTTCTTCTCACAAGCAACAAAGAGAAACCCTGATTAGTATTTTGGGGCCTTGAACTGTATCACTGCAGCCTGTGCCATCAGGGAAAGTCTCACTGAACTGACTGCTACTCCAATACCTGGAACTGGATAACTTCAAAAGCTTAAGTGACACTTTGTGTTGAACTGGACAAAATGAGCTCTCTGCTGTTATTACAGGATCTCAGATGGTCCATAATTCCCTGGTGCAGGACCTGGCAGCAGGAAGAGGACACGGGGAAGAATCACAGTTCTTCCCTGAAGAAGCGTTGTTTGCACACTCATTGTGTTCACCTTCCCATATCATTCTCCAAGTCTGAACCTGCTGATGAACTCCAGCCAAAAGTATGTTCTAAAGACATTAACTTGTGATGAATTTGGTGAAAATCAGCATCTGGACAAAGGAAGATTCTCTTGACTGTGATTTTTGTGGACAACACAGGTCTATGTAATCATGGATGGTGAAGAAGCCTCATTATTTCTCCCACAGGAAAACTCATGGCATCAAAAAAAAAAAAATCATCAGATAAAAATTTTATGACAATCAAAAGGGACCAACTTTTCCTGCTGCGCATGAATCAGAAATTGTGGCTGCAGAACACGATGCCAGAACATAATGAGCTTAAAAAGCAGATGAATGAGGGGTTGGAAAACCAATTTAGCACCATTAAGCACAACGAAACAGCCCGTGACTCAGGATGTCTGCCTGTGAACTGAAGCAAAGGGAGAATATGCAGGGGGGAAGTGAGATTGTGTGCACAGCCAGTTCTTAATCTTTAGTTCTCAGTTTTAGTCTTGTCACAGGAAAATGTTCTTGCACATTTCCGCAGCAAAGGCCGAGGTCAGTCTGAAAGAAACTGAAAGCTGTCCTGGAGAAAACAAACCTTTGCAGGGGCTGGAGAGAGAAAAAGGCACAGAGCCCGGGAGCCCAGAGAGAAAATAGAATATCTAAGTGAATATTCAAGTTTTAAAAAATCCCAGTGAGGCAGCCAAGAGGAAATACTAAACAAAGCCACCCTGATGGGACCTGCTGCTCCCTGAGAAGCTCCTGGAGAGCTGGTGGATGCCACCATACCTTCTGTGCAGAGGTGTGATGGCATTAGGTTGTTTGCTGGGGATATCTGGGGATAACCAGAGTGACTCTGACCCAGTTTCTTCTAATTTCAGAGCCTGTCAAGCCTCCTGCTAATACCATTCCAGAAAGGCTGATGGCTCCATCTTTCCCGGGTGGAGGGAGCTGGAATCTCCAAGGACAACCATTTCCCCAGCTATGTCTCTGGGTAAGCAGATTAATTCAGAGCACGGTTACAGGATCTGAGCGTGCACTTGGCAAAGCCAGGCAAGCATGAATCAGGTTCTGCATCCGTCCCTTGCAGTGCTACTGAGCAGGAAAACACGTGGGGGTTGGAGATAGTGGTATCACATCAACAGTCGACGCCCACTGGATTGTCCTGCAGAGCCCTCTCTGCAGATTACAAGCTGGTTTTTTCTGCTCTTTTTGTTCCAGGCAGATTGTCTTTCTCACTCGAATTTTTAAACCCCCTTAGTTCTTTTCCCCAGTTCTTGGTGCTTTGCCCAGCTGATGGCTTTGGACTAAACCCGGCTTTGGACTAAAACAGTTTTCCTCTGGGCTTGGCCTCAAAGTAACAACACACAAACGTGGCAAAACAGACTTTTCCCTCTCCCTGGGGTTTCTCTGAATTTACAGGCCTACAGTGTTCTTTAATTGGAACATTCCTTCTACCCTAAACAGCCTTTCTGACAGTTATATTTCCGAGGCTGTTAATTTACAGTCATTGTTTCACCTTGAGCTCTTCTTAATGGGACACCTGAGACAATAATAAACCAATTTAGAGTTCCTTGAATCTCAGTGTTAGTCAGCAGGACTGGCATTGCCATAATCATGCTGCTGACACAACTAGTTATTATCCCCACATCACTGGGGCGTGGGCATAAACAACACGCCACCTTAGCCCAAATGAATCCTAGACAGCTCTGAGTTTGCTCCATGTGATCCTCTCAGAGGGTTGTTAATCTGCTGGGTGTCCCTCCACAACATCCCAGGAGAGAAGCTGCTGCTTTAGAAACGTGCCAGGAAGTCTCCTGTGCAGATTCCATGCACGAAACCCGGAGCAAAGGGTAAGTAATTCTTGAGCAGGAGAGAAAGGACTGATTGCTTAAGGGAATGTTTAAGTGAGCTTGCTCCTCTTCCAGAATTCGTAAATATTTTAATACTTCTGATCCACACGTCCAAACAGTGAACACTCAATCCACCCAAAGAATCAAAGCCTGATCAACCACCGGAGCCAAGGCCGTGACAAACACAGCAGTTATTTGTGCTGAGTGCTGCTTGAAACAAGGCTGGAAACCTGAGCAAAGGTTTTTGGCTGTTATTTGATTTATCCTGGCTTGGGAGAACAACCATTATATGTTTTTTTTTTTTTTCCTTTAATAGCCATTGCCAATGTCTCCTCTTGATGATGAATAGACAAACCGGAGGACTGGGAACTGCAGATGAAGCTGCAACAGACACACTGGCCACTGAAAAAACAATAAATACGATCAGCTACCCAAGCACTCGGGTAAAGTGTGTCACAATCCTGCTCTGGCAAACACAGGCAGCTGTTTGGAACACCCCAGTCCACAAGGAGCAGTTTCTGTGTGAGTGACTGCAGGCTGCCAAGGGACTGTGCTTCCTTGATTTTCCTAGAACAGCAGAATCCCTGGGATTGACCTTTGGGAGTTCACTGTCATCACATGCTCCTCTGCAGCTGGTTTCTGTTTGGTAAGGCAGCGAGATGCAAAAATCCATCTCAGTGGCTCAAAAGGAAAAGGGGGGGGGAAAAAAAAAAGTAATGTCTCTTTCCCCAAAGTTGGCTGCATTTCTGTCACGTCCAGGGAATTATTATGTATTTCAAATGGCTCTGAGTAATTTGGAAGGAGCCTCTCATAATGAGGCTCAAGCCTCTTGCTTTTTCTCCCTGCAGGCACAATAGTTTCCAGGGATATCTTTGGGAGTTTCAGACATGTGGAGGAAACAGACTGTCAAAGGCAGATTCTCTTGTGTGGATTTGAGACAATTTTGCTTTCCAAATCTTGGGCAATAAGGCACCTAAAGAGAACAAATCCAGGAAGTGGAGAGGGAAAACATGCTTTGCTGTAAATTCATTTATTTCCCCAAGGAGGATTTAGGTCCTGTTTTTGCACAAGCAGTGATTGTCCATTGTAAGAACAGTAACCCAGTAACTTCAGCTGGGAAAGAGTGGAGGCCAAACAGTATCTTGTGAATGGATATAACTGAGGGTGGATGAACCACTGGGAATGTAAAGTGCAGGATAACAATGTTGCACGTATTTGGTCAGCCTTGTCTATGCAGTAAAGTTTTACAAATTATGTAGGTGCCCATAATAACACTTTAACCCCTTCCTAAGTGCCTCTTATTTCTGCTCAGCAGAGGCTGAACTGAGAAATGTTCCACTTGTATTGGAACATGGAGATTTAACCAGGCATTACAGAAACAGCCTATGTGCTGTAGTTGACACTGAACCCACCTCCCCATCCAACATGAAACAAGTCATAGAGTATTTTGGCAGCCTCATTTTAGGGACCTAAAATTAGTTCCTCTGAATCATAGGCTTTAGAAGAGCCTATTTCTGTCCCATACTACACAGGAAGCTCAAGTTCCTTGGCACCTCGTTCAGATGCTGAAATCATTCTTGTCCTCATCCCCCAAACAGACAAATTCTCTGTAAAATAGAACTTTATGTAATGGGCATGTTTCTAAGTTGCCCCTTTGGCACCTTTCAGTGCCAGCTTTGGATGACTGACCAATTCAGAAACGCTGGGATGAGGGAAAGGGATCCTCATCAAAAAAGCAAGTTATTCCTCTTTATTTGTGGGGATTTGTGAGATATGAGGGGGTCACAGACCAGGACAGGTAGGATACAGGTAACCTGAAGCTCCTGTTGGATTGGCTATTCTTTCCCAAACTGTAACATCACAGAATGGTTTGGGTTGGAAGGTGTAGAGTATTTGCAGGAAAATGGACATTGTTTGAACAGTCCATATTTTTGAGAAGCACTAGGCCTGCTCGACATAACTTTGAGAGTTGCAAACCGTGTGAAAACTCGGTGTGTTTATGCTTACAAACTGTGAAACTATGCAATGTTTATACTTGTTAGTTGGTATGTTTATAGTTAAGGTAGGAGAAAATCATGTGTTTACAGTTGAAAGTTGTGGGAAAACTAGAGATAAAGGGACACCTGCAAAATCCCGGGAAAATCCCTAAAGGCGGATGGACAGGAGGGACTTTGGGTGGCAAAAATGATCTCAGACCGGGTGGACAGAGCTTCAGAGCCAATAAACCGAAGGTGTGAGACGCGTGCACAGACCGAGCTACCCAATCACCTTGTTGTAAGCACGTGCCCGGAAAAAACTAAACCGTATAAAAGTTAACTCATTTAAATAATAAATTGGACATCGCTTTGATCGTTCCCGAACTCCTGCCGTCCATAGGTGGCGCCCGAAGGGAGACAGGGACCCTTCAGAGTGCCGGGTTCCCCGAGTGTCGGCAACGGGAAGAGGGGGCAGGAAACCGGGAAAGAGTTCGAGCCACAGTCGACTTGGAATCTCACCCTAATCAGGTGAGCGGCTGGGGAGGAGACGGGGCCAGCACTGAGCAAGGAGGAAGAAGCGGTGCTTAAATTCCTCCAACATATTCTCTCTGAGAGAGGGTTATCCTGTGATGCAGGTAGCCTCAAAGGGCTGTTAAATTGGGCCCGAGATAAGCGGTGTATCCCCACAGTAAATGCTGCTTTCGAAGTCTCGGTATGGGAAAATATAGGGAAGCAGCTGTGGGAAGAGATCACCAAAGGATCTCAGGGCGCAGTTCGCTCCCCAGCACTGTGGCGACTGTTAACCGAGACGCTGCAATCCATGAGAACTGAGAGGCAAGTTACCTCTGTGCTGCATTAGCGAGCAGCGAAACTGAAAGCAAAGAGGGCGGGTCGGCTTCTCAGTTTTTATTCACCACTCCACAGATCCCGCTGCCGGCCAGCTCCAAACCGCAGGCTCCTGCCCGACCGTCAGCCAGCGGCCCCAGCAGTCCGTCCTCAGCCCCGGAGAGCTCCAGCTCCGTGTAGGGCGCCGGGGAGCCCACTGCCAGCAGCGCCTCCCCCCGCCGCGGGTCCCGGGCCGGGAGAGCCCCCCCAGCCCCGCCTCGGCCAGGAGCCGCCGCCGCTTCTCCCGCCGCGCCCTCCGAGGCTGCCGCCGCGCCGCCGCCTGGAGCCGTGCCCTGTCCCGCCGCCTCCTGGAGCCGTGCCCTGTCCCGCCGCCGCCTGGAGCCGTGCCCTGTCGCGCCGCCGGCCCGGCCAGCGCTGCGCGTCTGCCGCCGCTCCCCCGACCGCCGCTGCCGCTCGCTCCGCCACTGCCGCGACTGCGCCTGCGCGCGCCGCCCCGTGACCCGCGCTGAGCGGCTGCCGTCGCGCCCTCCTACGTCATCGCCGCGCGACGTCGACCCCGACCCTCCGGGAGCCGCGGCAGCCTCCGCCCCCCCGGCGAACCCGGCGGGACGGCCTCGGCAAGGGAAAACGGGGGGCGGGAGGAATCGCGGACCTGCCCGCACCGCCGCGCCGCTCTGTCCCCCGCTGCCGCCGGCTGTGCCTTCGTCTCCGGATTCCGAAGAATCCGATTTCGAGGGCAGACAGAGGGGTTCAAAGGACCAGGCGCAGCTGCAAGAACTCCTGGGGAGATTGAAAGCTTTGGAGGCATCTGTGGCAGAAAAAGAGCAGAGGCGGCAAGAGCCCTCTGCACCCTCTCTGCCATTGCCGGTTCCCCCTATCCTTCCTCAGGCGCAGGCTCCCCCAAACCCTTTTCTGTCCATTCCGCCACCTCCGCAAAATCCACTCATGGAGGGGGGAGCGGGTGGGACCGCGCTGGGAGGATCCGTAAATCTGCCCTTTGGGAATTCAGGGGCTGGCGCGAGACGGGAGGATCCGGTGCAGAGATGGAAGAGAATCCAGCGAGATGCTATGAGGGAGGGAGAGGTTTTGTCGTTAACTCCTGACACACTTTCAGTTATACTAGGCGGGGGGGGAAACAGGAGATATCAGGCTTTAGAGTGGATGCTAAAAGAAGCTAAGGCTGCGATAACTCAGTATGGGTTAAAATCGGGTTATACTACATCCCTGTTACAGCATTTGTTTTCTTCTACGTTGGTGACACCCTGTGACACAAAAATGATCGTTAGCACGTTGCTCTCTCCCCAGCAGAAGTTCGAATTTTATCAGAAATGGCAGGCAGGGTGTGATGCAGCAGCTGCGACCCCCAGACAACAGGGGAATCCTCTCTTTGGGGTAACAACTCAAATGCTCATGGGAACGGGTCCTTTTGCACGGGCAGACTCGCAGGTACAACTTGTCAACGAAGTATTGCAGCTCAGCCAGGAGCTGGCACAAAAAGCAGTACAGGCAGTGCCTGATGATAAGACAGCTCTGTCTTTTACTACAGTGCGGCAGGGGCCAACAGAGCCATTTGGGAAGTTTATTGATCGGTTGCATCATGCAATTAATACCCATCCTGACCTAGATGAGAACATGAAGGCCAAGTTTTTGGACTTTTTAGCCTATGACAATGGCAATGAAAAAACTAAACGAGCTTTGAGTGACCTGCCACGAGGTGCTACGAAGGCTCAGTTATTAGAAGCTGTAGACAGAATGGTTCAACAGGAGGAAGCTCCTTACATGGCTACAGCTGTCGGAGCAGCAGCAAAGCCGTTGGTGCAAAAGAGAAATAAACCAGGCAAAGGGAGGACGGAGAAAAAATGCTTTAACTGTGGGCAAAAGGGACATTTTAAAGCTCGGTGTCCTGCAGGTCAAAGGGGTGGGCCTCAGGGAGCTGCTGTTCCAAAGTGGTGTGCAAATTGTCAGAAGGATAACCATGACACGCACGAGTGCAGGCGGAAGGGAAACGGGAGGCTGAGTGTGCCGACCCCTCGCACCTCACACGATGACAGCAAGTCAGGGTGCCTGGAGAGCTGCTGTGCCACCACTGGCACCACCAGAGTGCACTTGGCAACAGCAGTAGATGTCACTCTCCAGACACAACAGGTAGTGGTCGTAGATTCGGTCTTAAGGGGACCCTTAGGCCTTATTGCCTTTTTAATAGGGAGATATTCCATGTATCAACGAGGTATTCTTGTTGTTCCAGAATTGATTGACGCTGATTATTTGGGTGTTATCAAAATTAAGGTATGTACCATGACACCACCAATTACCATTCCAGCCAAAAGCAAAATTGCCCAGCTCGTCCCCTTTCATTGCCTGGTCCCGTGTGTAACAGAAGAGGACCGTGGAGGAGGGAGTTTCGGTTCTGCCAGAGCCCCGGAAATGTTATTGGCCATAGATATTAAGAGAGGAAAGCCAGAAGAATCAGTGATAGTACTGCATCCTAGCAGTACTATCAAGTCCCTCCAGTTGACCATGCTTTTGGACACCGGTGCTGATGTCTCAATTATCCCTCACCATAAGTGGCCACCGGCTTGGCCTCTGACACGAGCCCCCGGGGGTGTGGTGGGGGTGGGCGGGGTGCAGCAGACCTGGCTGAGCCGTGACGTGGTAACCTTTTGGTTTAAGGATGGCAGGTCGGTGGGAACCAGGCCGTACGTTCCACTGCTGGGAAGGGACGTGTTGGGTCAGCTGGGAGCAAGGCTGGTGACAGACCCTTTTTAGGGGCGGTCACTGAGAGGCAGCCAGCCCTGAAACTGAGATGGAAGACAGGCCGGGCGGACAGAGCTTCAGAGCCAATAAACCGAAGGCGTGAGACGCGTGCACAGACCGAGGTACCCAATCACCTTGTTGTAAGCACGTGCCCGGAACAAACTAAACTGTATGAAAGTCATTTAAATAATAAATTGGACATCGCTTTGATTGTCTGCGCATCGTTCCTGAACTCTTGCCGCCCATAGGAAGGGAGCTTAAAGATCCTCCCGTTCCAACCCCTGCCGTGGGCAGGGACACCTTCCACCATCCCAGGTTGCTCCAACCTGGCCTTGGACACTTCCAGGGATGGGGCAGCCACAGCTTCTCTGGGAAAACTGTGCCAGGGCTCCTTTGTAAGAAAAGAGCTGAGACAGTGGGAACCAGGGTTAAGGCTGAGTGACAAGTTCCCAAATCCCTGTGCCAGTGCTGGTGTTGGCTCCCCCAGGCACTGGCCGAGGAGGGAACGTGTGAACAACCCCCCGGCGTGCCCTGAGCCACTGTCACCACCCAAAACTGCTCATGAATGGAAAGGTTGTATTTTCTTCTCAACTACAACGCCCAGCTTCATCAACTCTCGGGATTTAGTGCCAAAACCAACAGGTGGCAGCCACATTTGGGTTGCTGGCAACTCGCATTCTTCCTCCTACTTAATAAGAGAGGAAAAAGCTGTTGATGCAAGAAGCACAGACAGGTCCTGTGTTATGAAAGGCCCGTCCTCCATCATGTGACTCGGGAACCAAATGTGCTCTCACACACTGCTGCAGCCAAAACACATTGCAAACTCGAAGAACATGTTTATTTTTGACTCACTTGGCAAAATTTATCATTTTTGTACCCACTTTATAAAGCAGAATGGCAGCATAACGAGGAGGGAGAAAGGATATGTTTTTTAAATAATTATTAAATGTAATTATTAAATTGATCAATATGCAGGAAATACATTCAAAATGCAAGTACTCTGTGTCTGCTTACTATTGTAACTGTGAGTAGACTAGGAATCTCCTTTTCCCTTGTTTCAAACTCTGAAAAGAGGAGTCATATTCCTGAGGAGGAGGAGTTAGTAGGATGACAGTCTGAAGTGTACACTTGGCATGTTTTCCCCCAGCAGGTAAGTGTTTCATTCTGGTGGAAGGCATTTGTGTGTCTGAGGTCACAGATGAGGAGGTGGCTTGTTGGTTCAGACAAAATATGCTCCCTGAGGTCAGAGGTGCTCACTCACGTTGCAAAATACTCCAAAATGTGTGAAAAAAATCAAGCTTCAGTTTCAACCTGAGTCAGAAAGGGGAGGAGTATTTTTTTATAACGTGGCTATGAAGCAACAGAATGCAGCTTTGAAGTTCCTTATGTATCTGCCAACTTCAAGTGCAGAAAATTGGAGAGTACAATTTGGATTTTATTTTCCTCCAAGTCCAAACAAACTCTACCTGCTTCGAATTTACAAAACGCTTCCCCCCACTGGAAATGTCTGTTTGAACAAATCACCCTTGCAATTGCATATTAAATATTTAGAATTGAGTGTGACAGAAAATAGGTAATTTTAGACTTTTCAGTTTCAATACATGCATATTTTCACTTATCCACAGATACTGGGTTTTTATTACAGCTTCTGGGCCAGTTATCCAATTTATCCTTGTGTGACTTGGTGATAAAACTACTCATTTCATATTTATTTTGCCTGTTGTTTTCACCAGCAAAACACTAAACCAAGGTGTTCTTGATCCCCACAGAAATTTGACCAGGATCAAGTTTCATTTGTAACTGAGGCCAGAAAAGGGCAGAGAATTGTTTTGCCTCATGTGGATATGAGGCAACAGAATCGTAAAGTCCCTGTGAGAGATGGCAGCAAACACCCTCCAAATCACAACAAAAATGTTAACAAAGCCCAGCTATTTTGTAATCATGTAAAAGTTGATGTGTATTCTCCAGGATCACGTGATAGGAGTTCTTCTAGGAATGGAGGGGTGTTTCAGAAGTCTGGGACACTGAACGAAATTACTGAGCTCCCTTTATTAAAAACACAGGTCTGGGAGGGTGAGGAGCACAGACGGTGTGAGTGCACTCCTCAGGAAAA